ACAGTCTGTGGCCATTGCTGACCCCTAAGTGTAAACATGGACTTGGAAAGGTTTGCACTGATTGAGTTTATCATGTTTTACTCCTACTTCAAACGGGAGCAAACCCCAATACGTTCCATCATTGCAAATGCTGACACACTAAGGCCTTGTCTATACTACTGGGGTAAGTCGACCTAAATTACGCTACTCCAGCTACTTGAATAACATAGCTATAGTTGATGTAGCTTAGGTCGACTTACTACAGTGTCTACACCTGTCAACTTACCTTACTCCTCTCGTTCCAGTGGAGTACCGGAGTTGACCGGAGAGTGCTCTGCGGTCGATTTAGCAGGTCTTCACTGGAGCCACTACATTGACCCCCGCTGCATCGATCGCAGAAACATCTATCCCAGGGGTGGGCAAACGTTTTGGCCTACGGGCCACACCTGCATATGGAAATTGTATGGCGGGCCATGAATGCTCACGAAATTGGGGGCTGGGGTGTGGAAGGGGATGAGGATTCCGGCTGGCAATGCGGGCTCTGGGGTGGGGTTGGGGGTACAGGAGAGTGCTCCGGGCTGAGACCAAGGGGTTCAGAAGATGGAAGGGTGATCAGGGCTGGGGCAGGAGGTTGGAGCTCAGGAGGGAGTCAGGGGTGCAGGCTCCGGGCAGCCCCTTCTTCGCTGTCTCATTGGTGTCTCATGCTGAAATCAGTTGAGGCACTCTTCCTGTCAGCCCTTAGTTTTGAACTTGGTGGAGGGATCTGGTGGCTGGAAGTACTCCGTGGAGAGTCTATGACTGAAATATTTCTGGTCACCTCTTTTCAGCCAGCCCCCTCCTAGTCCATCAGAGTCCAATTTACATGGCTTAAGGGAACAGTACAAAGTCATGTACCTTTCCAGTCTAGCTTTCACAGTTATTGATGCTTCAGCCAGGAACATCCAATAAGCATCAAAAGGGTGGGATTTTCCACTCTTTGAAGGTTGTATATGTGTTTATATTTTAAAATTTTAATTTTTGTACAGTGGCTAGATGTTGCAGTGGTGAGCATCAAATCTACAAATAACACAAGACCCTAGAGTCCAACAAATTAGTTTATCATAATTCCAAAATACTGCATCAAAGCTTGGTCTTTCCTCATATAACATCTCAATGAAGGCAGAGTAAGGACTTTGTGTGAGGTAGAGAGGTGGAGTAAACTGAGAAAAACCTCAGGATTTGGTTTTTTTTCAAAGAGATGTAAAAACATATGCCAAGTATTACTTTTACTATTAAGCAGGGAGACAAAAAACTGTAGCCACCCCTCTCCACTACCAGATAAATGCCAACACCTTCGTAGTTTCATTTTGGGGTCAGAAACAAAAATGATTATCAATCAGTCAAGATGCTTCAGTTTACAGGGGAAAGTCCAGAGAACAGGAAAAGCTAAATGTGACGTACAAAGGATTTTTAAAATGGTCTTATGCTCCTCATGATGTATAAAGAAGACCTGAAAGTTGGGTGTTTGGGTTTGGGGATTTTTGTGGGAGGGAGGGATGGTGAAAGGGTTTGAAGGAGAAAATTTTAAAAAATGATTTTTTTTCATTAAAAGTCTGGTCTTGTTTTTTCAGGAAGCCTGTGTAAATGAGTAGAGAAAGTAGGATTATGACATCCCCTTGACACCAAGCAGGGTGAACCCTGGATAAATACAAGGAGATGTTTTTTTATTCAGACTGCATAAGGGGTTGTCTGCACAAGTTAAAGTGGTGCAAACTTCTGTGTAGACACACTTATTTGACTTTGAATGCCTTTTCTGAGTTTAGTTGAACCTGTTTCTCATTGACCAAGGGCTGGTCTACAAACAAACTTACACCAAAATGACTAAATTTGTTGTAATTTGCACCTTTTGTTATTTTGGTGCAAGTTCTGTGTGTGGACACTCTGATTTCAGAGTAAAAGTAAATTTACTTTTAAATACTCTAAATTTACATATGCAAGCTAAACCAACATAATTTAGGTTTAAACTGTTGTAAATGTGTCTAATATAACTCAATCAGTTTAAAATTAAACTTTTATTTAAACCAGTAAAGCAGGCCCAAGTTTAAGTGAGTAAGGCATTGATTTATGCTAAATCAAAATAAGAAACTTGTATTTCAAAATAAGAATGTCCATACATAAACTTTTGAAACAAAATATTAAGAAGATGTTATTTAAAACCAGTTTAGTTATTCGGGTGGCAGTTTGTGTGTGGACCAACCTTAAGATTTGATAGTCTTAAGGCAAAAAACAAGCTGAAGGGAAAAAAATCCAACAACTCCACTCCCCAACCTTTCAGTCGTCTTGTACATTTAAAAAATAAAAAAAAAGCAAAAAGAAAGCACAAATCCATTTCCTTTTTCTCTTCAGATCACTTTTAAGAATAAGCTAGTTACATCAACTATAGAGTCGCTACCGTAGCTCTATCAAAAATGGAAAATTTGCTGTCTAGGATTACTCAGAAAATCTCTCTGCCATTCTCACGCTGCTGTGAGAGGCTTTACCCAAAGTCAGACTTCATTTCCTGAAAGCCATTGCATGCAGTTAATTCCACCACGTGGAAATACTTTGAGCACGTTTTATTAAAGCAATATAGCCTTGCCCTGAAGAATTCATTATTTTAAAAAAAGGGTTTTATGCATAATTAAAAGGCTGTGTGAACTGGTTAGTTAGGTTAAATTATGTTATTATATATATTATAGATTATGTTAAATAGGCATTTGAGTGGAAATGATGTAAATGGCAAAAAGAAGAGTTCTGTCTTCCTTTAAACTTTTGGCCTAAAATTTAAGAATCTCAAGTAGTATAAATCAGTACATTGGAGTAGCATTGACGTACAGCAGTTTAGGATCTGGCCCTATATTTTGTAACAATCAATTTTTAGAAAACCAACAAAAATATTTCCATTAAGATTTTTAATTTCTGTGGAAATGGTTTTAAGAAACCAAACATATTCTCTTTCAGTGTTTGCATCCCAAACATTGCAGCACCTGGCTTGTGCTGGAGAACCTGTGAGTGAAAGTGACTATAAAAAAGTGAAATAGACCAAACAATTACCCCTGTACAGTTGAGATATGCAAAAAGTAAACAACATAAATAGTGAGAAAATATAATTGAACTTTAAAATTATTTCAACTCTAATGTGTTATTAGGAACATAGATAAGGAAATTTGTTATTTAAAAATATATATAATCTGACAATATCCCTTTAGTGTAAACATTTTTACTTGTTTCTAAACTTTGTTTGTATGTGTGTGTGTGTGAGAGAGAGAGAGAGAGCATATCAGACAACTTACTTTATCTGTCATTTTATAGGCTAAAACCATATTGTTTAGTTATTGTCTAGCCATATTAGGAGCCATTTCTTTCAAGCAGAGGAAAGTAGACCCCATGCACGAAAAGAAATCTTGGATGTCTAGCGTGATCTCCTGCAAATGGCAGCCAACTCTGTCAGTCACTATTAAACTCCAGTGCTCCGCTCCAGCACCGAAACCCCCTCGGACCATCTTTAAACTTGGGCTTGTCTACACTTACAGCGCTGCACCAGTGCAGCTGTAGCGCTTAGTGAAGATACTATCTATGCCAATGGGAGTGCTTTACCCGATGGCATAGCTAGTCCACCTCCCCAAGATGCAGTAGCTATGGCAATGGGAGAAGCCCTCTCATTGACATAGCACTGTCTACACCAGGAGTTAGGTTGGTATAACCGCATCACTCAAGAGTGTGGGTACCAACACAGTTATACTGACATAAGTTTGTAGTCTAGACCAGGGCTCAGTGTACAGAGCCTTCACCCGCATCGTTCCAGTATTATAGCAGCAGCAGCTAGTAAAGCCAGCAGACAATAAACCATAAAACATGTTTGGCTCCCTTTCCCACTTCCATGGCTACTAAGTGAACCCTGTCTTCTCCCTATGGCAAAGGAGCCCTCTGAAGACAGTCACAAAGAGGAGGAGAGGGTGGGAGAAGAAACAAGAGGTGCGAAGAGGCAGGGGAGAGGGCTAGGGAGTCAGCAGTAGTAGAGGAAAAAATACTGACAGACTATGGAGGCAATAGCAACAAAGAATTAGGGAGCTTTCTTTCCTAAAGAATTTGTGTGTATAGTCTACAGGCAATGTGCTACAATCTCAGGAACTAATTTTCCTCCTTTTTTGGGCAATATGGTAATACTATTAATTTGCAGTCAATCCATATGTGTGTTCAGTGTACTTAGAGGATTAGGTTCTCTACCCTGTCCGATCTCTGCCTGGGTGCAATGGAGAGGGAAGGCCACAGGGAGCCAATTGTGGCTTCCTGATCCCCAGAGACCTGGCCCCAGCACAAGTTAAAATGGTACAGGTGCAGTTCTAACTTACACCTTTGGTGTACGGTCCCTCAAGTGGAGAATCTGGCATAGTGGTGACTTTTACCACCCTGGAATAGTGATTCATGCATTGGTTGATACTGGTCTTAATGATCCTTTCATCAACCCCTTCATACTTTTATAGTCTCTCTTCCTCTTTATAGAGCAGTACTGTCAGTTATACTTTGCAACCGCTGCAGTAGGTGGTGGTGCTACTGGAGCAGCACAGGCTAAACAATCAAGCCTTCCTCACTTCCTCGACTAAGGTCAAGGGCTTCACCTCTGCACCATTCCCAGTGTGAGAATCCCAAGGTGATTCAAGTCTTCCATTTGACTCTTACCTGTTGAGCTGTCCAGGGAGCTCTGCATCAATTCCCATGGATGTACTACAAGAATGGTGCGAAAGTTTAAAGCAGTTAATAACAGTACATTTTTCATTTTGTGTATGTGATTGATAATTAACACTCTTTAACAGGTTAGTTAATTTTTTTAAACTTAAAAATGAGAGTTTCCTACCTACTGCTGACCCTAGGAAAGATTCCTGGGAGACTGTCCAGGAAATGATAGGAGTCCCTTTACTAAAGACACAGAGAAAAAAATCTATGCCCTGTCACTCTTGTTTTTACAGCTAAAACAGTCTGTGCTCTTGCTTTGTTTCCTGCAGCTCCTTGATGTTGTCTTCCACCTGGCACAGCAGAATCTGCGGTTGCTTGTGCTGGGCCGCAAACACATGCTGACTGGATCTCATAGCTGGAAAAGGCACATTGTGGCTGCTATGCAGAAGAAAGCAGACTTCTTCTTTGCTGAAAATGTGTAAGTATTGAAGATGACTCAATTTACTGGAGGACAAAACTAGATTCATTTTTATTTTTAATTACTTAAACCAGCTAATTTTGTGACTTACTCCAGTACTATTTATTATTAAGCACTGACAGTTCTCAGCCCTATACATGCAAAAGAGAACAACATATTCCTTGCTCCATGGAGTTTACAGTCTAAATGGATAGAGAAAACAGATTAAAAATTGTGCTAAAATACAGAGCTCTCATAATGTACAGTCTTAGGGTATGTCTATACTGAAATAAAAGACCCACAGCTGGCCCGGGTCAGCCGTCTTGGGCTTTGGAGCAAAAAATTGCTGTGTAGATATTCCGGCTCAGGCTGGAGCCCAGGCTCCGGGACCCTCACCCTCATGGGGTCCCAAAGTTCAGGCTCCAGCCTGAGCCTTAATGTCTGCACAGCAATTTTACAGCCACACAGTCCGAACTTGGGCCAGCCACGGGTGTTTGAGTCCTATGTAGATGTACGCATATCAACAGGGTAGGAACCTTTAGATCCACAGGTAGATCTCTGCCAATTGAGCTAACAGATTAACTGACAGTGTAGATTGTCATCGTACATGTCAGTGGTTTCAACCTTTTTCATTTGTGGATCCCTACAAAATTTCGAAAGGAGGTACGAACCCCTTTGGAAATATTAGACATGATCTGTGGACCACCAACCCTTGCTCCCAGTCTCCTTGCTCAGCCAGACCCAGTCTTCCCCTTGTCTCCTTGTCCCAATCTACTTCCTCTGCCATCTCCTTCACTCCCTCTTCAGGTCTGGCTCTTATGTCCTCTGCATTTGAGTCAGGCTGCTGCTTCTTGCATGCTGCCTGGGTGCCAGCAGAGGGAGCACTGAGAGCATAGGACAGACAGTATCTCTGCTCCTAGTTCCTGTACCCAACACCACAGCAGCCCCTGGCAGCTAGGAGGAGCAATTTCATGGAAAGTCATACTTAGCTTCTGCAGCCCTGGGATTGAGCATGCCTAGTGTAGATGGAATCTAGAGAGAATTTAGCTGCCAAACTCTAACAAGTCTCTACTGAGCATGTGTGAACTAAGATTTCTCAAAAGTTCATAACTTGGCCAAATGGGGTTGTTTTTCATGGGAATAGGAAAAGGCACATCCCTGGCACAAAGATTCTCCCCTCCACCTGCTGAATTTAAGTCCCTGCTCCAGTTTGGAGGTGATAGAGAGTTTCTCAGCAAAATGGTTGTAATAATTTTTAACATGGGCAAAACTGCATTTTTTCTTAATTTTCTCAGAAGCAGATAAACCAATTTAGCTGAAATGTTAAAAAGAAAATACACTATCTAGCCTGAGCAGAAACCCAGCATGGAAAATTTCAGCCTGAATGGTTAAAGTTTGGCAAAGTTGTAAGCAACTGAAAACAGAATCTTGTAATGCAAAGTGTTAACTATAGACACACCTGCTGGCTCCACGTATAATAAATGTGCAGCACTTCTTCTGACATACATATTTTTAGATCCTTGGATGGAAAGTACTGTAGAATTGCAGAGCTGTTGTTATGTAATGGGGCTTTTCTCAGGGAAGGATAAAGTTTAACAAAAAATTAATGTCCCCTCCCCACATCTGTCTCATTTCAGTGAAGATAAAGTCGAGTATATTCTATGAAAAAATCTTAGCGTTTCTTGGGAATGAACCCACCCACAAGTCTATGAATCACAGAGTTACACTGTCTTATGCATGACACTAGAGACACTTTATCAGGTGCTCACATGAAATTATGGATCTGTATGGATGCAGTACAGTTTTGTGCAAGAGTGTGGGACCCCTGAAGACACAATCTGAATGTTAGTGCTTCTGTTCACGGTAGCAGTGTATTGTTAAATCACATGGGAAGTTGCCATTTTGTTACTTGCTGTGTTGTAGTGGGAAGGGAAAACATTCTTTCTACTAGGCAGCTAAATTTTAATTCCCTTCCGAACATTTGGATGCTTTGTGGTAAACAGGAAAAGGACCTTGTTTTAACAGAGAGCTTAGTGGTGATGGGAATTTGCAGTAATCATGATGAATAAAATTCAGCTGAATGCTTGATTCATTTCCTGCATCCTTTTAGTGCCCATGAGTGACGTCCGTCTTTACTCTTTGTGGTTTATTTAGGTCAGAAGATGACCCCTTCCTATTATATGCCACTCTTCACTCAGGCAGCCATTGTAAGTTTCTTACTAGAGACCTCCTGCGAGATCACAAGGCTTGTATTCCCGACAGTCTTACTCGATATCTGTTCTTTAAGTGGCAGCGTGGACACCAAATGGTGCTTTCCCACTACTGGCCAGGAAAGAGAATAAAATTTCAGGTAAGTTCTCTGCTCTCTTCAGAAAACATACAGAACATACTCATTAAATGCATAAAATATGAGCCACAACTAATAAAAAACTGTAGAAAAATTCTTATGAGGGCTAAGGGCAGAATGTGCATGGATGAGCACATAAGAGGCAGTGTGCTCAAAACTCCAGTTTCATTCTCAAACAGCACTTTTGCTCACAAAATGTGTGATTTGCCATTGTAGGCAAGAGGACTGATTAATAGACAAGAAAGTGACTCTTCAAGTGCATAAACATCTGTTTACCTGCACAGTTACTTGTTTGCCTTTACCGACCGTTTGGGTGAAATGTATCATAGGTGGACATACTTGAAAATTTTACCCTGAGGGTATGTCTACACTGCAATGTAAGTGTACCATTAGTGGGACTCGTGTTAGGGATTCATGGGCTTGAGTGTCTACATTGTATTTTAACCCTTTGTTAAGACTTTTCTAACCTGTGCTCAAACATAGGGCTCTGGTGTCCACACTGCAGTGCGCAGACCCAAATCAACCCTAGTAAAGTAAACTGTATCCCAGAATCCCTAGTGCCTCCCACCCCTGAAATGTTGCCGCTCTAAGCCTAGGACCATGGTGTACTGTGGGAAAACTTTACTGCCTGCCCTGCGCAATGCCAGGAAGCAGCTGGTTTTGCAGAAGTCTTGATCGGTTCGCTCTCCATTGCAAACCCAGGAGGCTCTCTGATAGCGTGCTTGTAGACCAGTGGATCAGAAGAGAATGGGTTAACAGTGACCTCAGCTGCTGCCATTTGCAAAGGAGGAGGTGGATTAAATTTTCAATAGAGTGGACTGAAGATTCTTGGGATAGAGAGGGCTAAAGAGGTTGTCCTATGGAATTGTGGGATATTTCCAGCTGACTCCCGGGATCCGAGTCAAATGGTGTCTACACTGCAGAGCAATAGGGTTTGGATCCTGGTTCCCAGCTCACCTCGAGCTTGGACCCTCCAGCCCTGCAGGGTCCTGGGACCCTGGGTCTGAGTCTCAGGTTAGTGCAATTGCAGTCATAGGCACCGACTCCGTGGGTGCTCTGGGGCTGGAGCATCCACAGGGAAAAATTGGTGGGTGCTCTGCACCCACTGGCAGCCAAGCTCCCCGCGTCGCCTTCCTCACCCCTGCTTACCTCCGCCTCCTCCCCTGAGCTCGCTGCATCCCCACTTCTCTCCCTAGTTTCCAGCTCTTCCCACCACAAAACAGCTGTTTCGTGGCGGCAAGCTCTGGGAGGCAGTGGGGAGGAGGGGGAACGTGGCGTGCTCGTGGAAGTGGCGGGGCCCGGGACGGGGATTTGGGGAAAGAGTCCAGTAGGGGCAGGGAAGGGGCAGAGTTGGGGCGGGGACTTTGGGGAAGGGGTTGGAATGGAGGCGGGGCAGGGGTGGAGGCAGGGCCAGGGTTGGGTGTCAACCGCCCACTGGCGCTGGGAAAAGTTGGCGCCTATGATTGCAGTGTATATGCAAGGGGGATTAGGCTTGAGTCTGGGCTCGAGACCGGGCTTACATTGCAATGTAGAGATACCCTTAGAGCCCTTCGTATCCTGCTTCCAAATTCTGCATTTTCTTGCATCTGTTATAAGCATGAAAAGAGATCATTCTCCTCTTCAATTCTTCTGTAAAGTGCATATTTTTAATCCTAAAATAGAATGCATTTTTAATTCCATTTTAAAGACGCGTTCACAGACAAATACAGATATTCAGTGCAGCAATGTTCTAAACAGGTAGGTTCACAGATAAATGTTGGTGCAGTAAAGAGATACGTTATATTAGTCAGGTATGCAATCAGTACACAGCTAAATGAGTGACGTCCTTCTGAGCATAGCATGCATAGTTTTGGCTGGAGGAAGTCACTTGCTGTTTCCTTGGTGAGACCAATAATAGAATACTGCATACAGTTATGGTGTCTACAGTTTAAAAAAAATGTTGAAAAATTGAGAATGAACTAAAGAGCCACAGAATCAATTCAAGGCCTGGAGAAAATGCCTCTCACTGAGAGAATTAAAAAGATTAGTTTATCAAAAGAAGATTGAGAGGTGATTTTATTACAGTATGTAAGTAGCTTCACAGGCAGAAAATACCGACTACTAAAGTGCTCTTTAATCTAACAGAGAAAGGACTAAAATTAAAACCAGACAATTCAACTTAGAAATAAGGCACACATTTTTAAACAGTTAGGGTTGATTAACTATTGGAACAAACTACTAAGGAAATTGGTGGATTCTCTATCTCAGAGGTTGGCAACCTTCGGCACGCGGCCTATCAGGGTAATCCGCTGGCAGGCCGTGAGACATTTTGTTTACATTGACTGTCCGCAGGCACGGCCCCCGCCCAGCACCCAGTGGCCGTGGTTCTCCGCTTCCTGCAGCTCCCATTGCCGGGAACAGTGAACCACAGCTACTGGGAGCTATAGGGGGCCGTGCCTGCAGACAGTCAACTTAAACAAAATGTCTCGCGGCCTGCCAGTGGATTACCGTGATGGGCTGCATGCTGAAGGTTGCTGATCCCTGTTCTATCTCTTGATGTCTTCATATTACGATCAAATATTTAAAGGTACACAAACCAGAAAGATTCTGTGTAGAGAAAATATATTGAGAAGATGAGTCATTGTCCAGTGAGAAAGATCAAGTAAACTGTAGAAATCTTGAAGTCAACAAAGAGATTCCTGTGGTGGTGCTTTCTGAGTTCAACAGAATGTAGTTAGAGAAGAATACTAGGACTCTGTTAACATTTTGTATATGTATATTAACTGGGATTTATACACGTCTTAGGTGGGTTGGGTGCAAGGTTTACGAACAGAAATATCCAGTGTTGCTTGCAGTCAGACTACCTATTTACTTTAACATGCTCTGCTTTTTGTGTTTGCTGTTCTGCAAAACCATCCAACCATACTCCTGAGAAAGGGCAGGAAATGTCTGCTAGTCATTACAACATTTTTATTTTTTTTCCATTGAGCAAAGTCAATATAACATTTTTTTCTTGTCTTTACCCACAGCCTATTCTCACTTATGACACAGTGGTACAGACTACTGGTGACACTTGGCATATTCCCTATGATGAACAGCTGGTGGAAAGATATTCCTATGAAGTGCCAACAAAATGGCTTTGCCTTCAACGGAAATAATAAAGAATGCAGTTTTACAGACTAAAACTACAATTGTTTGCCACTGTCGCTAACAGGCAGAATCCAGTGATCATGCACAGTCATGGGATTAATACACCAAATATGAATCCTGCAGCTGACTAAATGTTCAGTAAACATAGTTCACCAAATTCATACCTACTATAACTCCATCAAAGTCAGTGGTGTTACAGTAGGGATGAATTTGGCCCATTACTTGCATCTTTGCTGATCAGAGTTAATTTTGCCCTGTAGTAAATAAAGAGATTTGTTTTAGCACCATTTATTAAGGTGATGAAGGGGTTAAGCACTAATATGGTCCACAGATCCTCCTAATAAATTTTAGCTTCTAAATTTCCAAAGATGTAAAATCTTGAACTTCTTTGTTATTTAAAATAATAGTTCATTTTTTAAATAAAAATTGATCATATTAGGGACTTCACTGTGGGCAATAATATGGCACAGTTGAATTTTGTATTGCCTCTTTCATAGAAACTTGAGTTAATTAGAAGACTGTAAAAGTGGTACAAATTACAGAAAAAGTGTTGTCAACCATTATCATTGCTTATTAACTATTTGTCTGACAGTTGTGAATCCTGTTTTTTCCATATCATCCTTATACGAGAAAGTCAGATGGAAATGCAATATTAATCTTTGTGGAAGGATCTGAAGAAAAATTCACTGTCAAGTTTTGTGGTATAAGAAAGCTGATGGGTCTCTTACCAAATGAAGTAGCTCTCACCTGGGCCACTCACAAACAGCCTTCCAGCATGCAAGTCACACCCTGAATGTATGTGTGTAACTGCAGCCTGCCATACACGCTTACACTCTTGCTTTCAACAGCCTTGGTTATACTGCAGGGTGTTGTCTAACTGCACTTCCCCAGTCTTAGATTTTCCACCAGAAATGTATGTCCTGTACTGCCCAGCCCTTTCCTGGACACTACAAGTTATATTAAGTCTGTTATTCCTTTAGCAGAATAATATGCCAACTTATTACTTCAAATAGTTATTCAAACAGTTCAATTTAAATACATTGGATTAGATAAAACAGTAAAACAAGTTTATTAACTACAAAGAGAGAGATTTTAAGTGAGTACAAATAATGAGGCATAAAGGTCAGAAATAGTTACAAGAAAAAATATAGATAAGACGTTTACTAATACCCAACTTCATAAACTATAGCAGATTCAAGCAAAGTTTCTCACCATATGCTTTCAGCAGTCTTACTGACCAAACTCTCCCACAGAGTCCAACAAATATTCCTTTGTCACTTCAGCTGTAGTGAATATGATGGGGGGAAGGGGTGTTCGTACCTCCTTTTTATAGTTTCAGTCCATCTCTTGAACACCATTCCCAGCTAGGCACCAGGAGACAAAAAGTCTATGAGGAAGGATGTTCCCTGCTGCTTTTTCCTCACCTCTTTGAGCTTTCTTTGCTCCCTGCTTGATAACTCTGTTTACTATTTAAATGCAAATTAAGCAGAGCACTCATTCCTTTGTTTAGGACAGACCTATTTGTTAACTTCTGTTTGAGCATGGCTGTGGGATTTGGAACATGGGAAACTACATGTTTTATCAGCATGATACTGACCAGCAAATTATGATTTTTCAAAAGATACCTTACAAGGCATACTTTGTACAAAGATTATTACAATAGTGTGTAGGGTGTGAACAAGGGATTCTATTAGCCTGATCAGAAGTTACATAGCTGCTGTTTTGGCACATCACCTGCATACAATTACTTCACACCCAACTGTGAACAAGTTTCTGAGGGATCTTGTCAGAGTTTTTCCTCCAATTAAAGAACTGCTCTTTTTGTGGGGGCCTTAACTTGGTTTTATCTGCCCTGATGTTTCCACCATTTGAACCCATTTTCTGAAAACTGCATTTTTAATTGCAATCACATCAGCAAGGGGAGCTGGTGACATACAGGCCTATATGGCAGACCCACCATATTTATTTTTTTATACAGACACGGTATATCTCTGCACAGGCAACTTGTCAAAAATTTCAGTCTCAACCAACAGAGTCATTTGGCCTTATTTTTCCTCAAGCCTTACTGTTCCAAGGAGAGGCTAACTTCAGCATTTTATTTGCAAAGGACTAAACCATTTAGACCCAGCTTTATGGGGATTGCCTGCCCCAATCTTTGCAGTTCACCCTAATTGAGTGTCCACAGCTGGCTCCCCACTAGAACCCTGGTCACAGTGTCTAAGCCACAAACTCTTCTCTTGATATCTATCCATAGAGATATTGCACCAGCTGCAGGAACCTTGGTCTATTTGGGACTGGATAATGACTTAACTTTTCACTGACTTTTGGAGGTGACAGCTCATATAAACAAATAAAACTCCATGCTTTGACTACTTCCAGCAGGTTGGAATGGGTGGGATTCCAAAAAACTAATGTTAAAATAATAAATTTGGAGATACCATAATAAATTTGGCGATACCAGTAAATGTCACCATTTGTTACTGAATATTTAAAGGGAAATCAAAGGGACTTAACTGAAATTAAATCTAAGGACCAAAATAAAATGATCTACCAGCAAAAGAGAATTTTCTTACAAAATGAGTACTGGAAGCTTTGGGGCTGTACCACGTAGTATGCTTCTGAGGGAATTCTGTGCCAAAAAAAATTCTGTGCACAATATTTTAAAATTCTGCAAATTGTATGTGTCAATAAATAAATGTGGAGGCTCCAGCATGGCAGTGGGGAGCACAGGCCACTGACTGCATGGAGACAGGAGATCACCTGCAGCCCCTCCTCCCCTGGGACAGGGACTTGGCAGTGAGGCTGCACTGGACCCTGACACAGTGCAAGGGCCAGGCCAGGCCTGCCCCAGAAACACCCTGGGTCCCTGCCTCTCTGCGCCAGGCATACTAGGTGTGAGTAGGCAAGTTCAGCCCAGCAGGATCCAAGTGTGGAGGGGCTTAGTGTGGGGGGTCCAGGTGGAGGGTGAGAGGGTTCTGTGTGGGGCAGTCTGGGTGTGGGTAGCTCAGTGGTGGATCTGGATGCACCGGGGTTCATTGAGGGGTTCTGGGTGCAGGGACAATGGGACTCTGCAGGGGGTCCAGGTGAAGGTGGTTGGAGCTCAGCAGGGGGAGTCGGTGTGGAGGGATGGGGCTTGGTGAGGGCATCTGGTTGAGGGGGATTTAGTGGGGGGGTCTGGGTGCAGCTGGTTGGGGCTCAGTGGGGTGGGAGTCTGGGTGCAGGGGCTTGTTGAGGTGGTCCAAGTGCAGGGGAGGTGAGGCTTATTGGGATGGGAGTTCTATGGGCCTGCTTAACAGGAGCCCCAGCTGCTGCTGCTGCCAAGAGGAAGCCATATACCAGGCTCCCCTCCCATTCCCCTATACCCTTTTCTTCCCTATCCCATCCCCCTTCACCACTGTTTCTTCCCCCTCGCCACTGTCACCTCCTCTCACTCCCACATTCCCCTGCCCTATCCCCCTCCACTCACTCCCACATCCCCCTTCCTTCCCAACTGCTTCTTCCTCCCACCCCACCCCCTTCCCCCATTTGCCCCACCCCTTCTTGTCCCACCGTGGGACTCTTATGAAGTTATTGTTAAAAAGTTCTTACATGTAGGAAGGATGAAAGTCTCCATTGTTTAGAAGATCAGCACAAGCCCCATGAGGAAGCTTGAACAGATTCTACTGTTCTTTAAATAGATTTTCAGTCTCCAGGAATGTCAATTTATCTGCCCCACAACCCATGTAGTGGGTTGCCTACATGGCAGCTGGGAAGTGTAATTCCCAGAGTGGGTGGATGGACACATGCTAGCTCTGTTCTAGAGCTAGCACCTAAAAGTAGCAGTGTGGCTGCAGGGACACAGATGGCTGCTTGGGCTAGTCCCCTGACTAACGGGGGTTAGGTGACATTGTACTTAGGTGATTAGCCTGACCTGTTGCCTCTGCCACTGTGGCTACACTGCTATTCTTAGGTGCTAACTTGAGCTGAGATTGGTAGTTCACTGCTGGCGATGATGACAGTGTTATCACAAATCTCATCTGTGGCTACGCATATGACTGAAGTACAAACCCTGATTGACTGTGAGCATAGGAAGTCTGTATCCATGATGTTTGAAGATACAGCTCTATGGCGCCTTTCATGAGCAGCCTGGAAACAATTTCATTGATCCCGCTCAAAACTGATGCATGCTGATCTTGTCAGAGACCACCAGTGAGTCCTGTCCTGAACCATTTGCTCAAGTTCTTTGGGATTAATTCCAGCCCATTGCAGACTGCTCTTCAGGCTGTCTTTGAAGTGCTTGTATGGACGACCAGGGGTGGCAAGTTATGTGGTGCCCGTGCTCGAGCAAATTCAGGAGCCGGGGGCCCAGCTGCACCAATGTTCGGGGCCGGGTGTCTCCCCAGCCCCAACTGCAGCCCCACATACCTCCCCCAGAGAGTCCCTCGGCCCCACCTGCTGCCCCTGTGTGCCTCCCCTGGAGCGTCCCTGCCTGCGCCCTGGGCAGCGAGCAGCTGCCCTGCCGCTCCATGCTGTGATCGCTCGCCAGCTGCTGCTGGCTACAAAAGGGAATGGTGTCGGTGGCAGGCTGAGGAGGAGAGGAGGCGAACATGTGATGGCAGCCCTCCCCCCCCACACCCACACCCACCACAGGGGAGGCAAGGGGGTTTCCTGGACCTAAGAGGGGCCCGGCCTCTAAGAGCACATGCAGTGATGGTGCCAGGTGAGTGTGCTGCCGGGGGTGGTGGTGGTGAGGGGGGCCCCTCTCCCGGAGCTCGCTGCTGCCAGCGGGGAGTGGGCTGAGTCCCTCCCAAACCCCTCAGCCCCAGCCAGAGCCCTCACCCCCCCCGTGCCCCAACCCTCTGCCCCAGCCCTGAGCCCCCTCCCACACTCCAAACCCCTTGGCCCCACCCCATTAATTTTATGTGCACCAATATGCGGGGGGCACTTAGACCCGTTCTGGTCACCACCAAAAATTTACAAACCTGCCACCCCTGTGGACGACCCCTCTTTATTTTACCCTGCCTCAGCTCCCCCTACAAAATCTGTTTTGAAAGGTGGTGGTCTTTCATTCTGATGACATGTTTGGTCCACCTAAGTTGTACTCTCTGCAGCATTTCCTTGATGCTGGTTATGTTTGCTCTCTCAAGGACCTTAATGTTGGTTACTTTGTTCTGCTAGCGAATGCTCATTATTAAGCAGAAAGAGTGCATGTGAAATTGCTCAAGCTGTTTGATATGCCGTCTATAGAGATAGAGTTCATGGCTCAGAAACATACAGGAGAGATGTCAAAACTACTGCACTATTGATCTTCAGTTTGGTAGAGACGGATGTTGTGTTGGTTGAGGACTTTTGTTTGAAGTCAGCCAAGGGCCTGCCTAGCTTTACTGATTCTGAAGGCAATTTCCTTGTCAAGGGAACCGTCACTGGAGATGGTACTGCCCAGATACTTGAATGGATCCACATTTTTCAACTGTGTGCTTTGGGTGGAGATGGCTGATACTGGGGCATTGGCTAGCTTGAGCAGAGATAGTGCATGCACATGTACCCAAGATGGGAATTGCATCTCCTAGGTGTGTGTAGACGTACCCTATATTAACTAAAAAAATCAGACAGAAGCCTTCCTGTGTAGTTCTGATTTCCTGTGGCAGAACATGTGATTGTTATAAGACTTTGAGAGAGATGATGAGGACTGGACTAAAAAAATCTATTTTATTTCTTGGTTGGTATTTTGATATAAGAGCATGGAGTGAAGTTTGTTAACATGCTACATGGGCTGAGGTAACTGGTGGAGAAGCGCTCTGAATGGGGTATGTCATCCACCTTCTCATGCCCATTCGTACTGGGTAGCTCTTTATTTTTCTATCCATCGTGGGTCTGAATGAGATATTGAATCTTTGATCCAAAATACTTGAGTCATATAACCTACTGCCACAACTGCTTGGCAATCAGACTGAATATTCAGTAATTCTCTCCATTTTCCCTTCCAACTGCTTTTCCAAAAGGAACAAAAAGATTCTGGAAGCTATCTACTTTAGCCCCATATATTTCCAATTTTCCAATACATTGCTGTATTTATATTTTTTCTCAGTGTGCCTATGGAGTGGGTTACTCTTACTATAGGGCAGCGGTTCTCAAACTGTGGATCAGGACCCCAAATTTCCAATTTTCCAATACATTGCTGTATTTATATTTTTTCTCAGTGTGCCTATGGAGTGGGTTACTCTTACTATAGGGCAGCGGTTCTCAAACTGTGGATCAGGACCCCAAATTTCCAATTTTCCAATACATTGCTGTATTTATATTTTTTCTCAGTGTGCCTATGGAGTGGGTTACTCTTACTATAGGGCAGCGGTTCTCAAACTGTGGATCAGGACCCCAAAATGGGTCACGACCCATTTTAATGGGTTTGCCAGGGCTGGCTTAGACTTGCTGGGGGCCGGGTCCAAAGCCCAAGCGTTTCAGCCCTGGGCGGCAAGGGTCAGGTTACAGGCCCCCTGCCTGGGGCTGAAGCCCTTGGGCTTCGGCTTTGGCCCTCTGGCCTGGGGTGGTGGGACTTTGGCTTTGCCCCCCTGCACTCAGGATGGTGGGGGTTGGGCAGGCTCAGGCTTTGGTCCCCCCTCCTAGGGTCGTGTAGTAATTTTTGTTGTCCGAAGGGGGTCGTGGTGCAATGAAGTTTGAGAACCCCTGCTATAGGGGACAGTGCCAGTGTATTTTAATGCACTGGGAGACTTTTTGTTCTCCTGTGATAAATTCAAGAAAGTAATTTTTTAAATGCATGAAATATACAACATGATCCAAACTGCAGATGCGAACATCCAGCATTTCACCAAAGAGACGTATCCCACCTAGTTCTATTATATTAAAAGGGCAATGGATATTAGAACATAGCTTTCCCAGCTCTTTTAATGACATAATTACAAAATAAAATAATAATTCCCAGCAGGAGAAATCCAATGCCAATAGAGGATTATGTTCATGGCTTTATGGTGGGGAATTTCCCTCTGTACTAGATACTGATATAGAGAATCAGAGTCTTTCAAATGTCTTGCGATATGATGATGCGGCTGTGGGAAAATATTGTCCAGAAATAAAAGCCCAAACTTCTATTCTGAGGTCAGTAGATTTTCTTCTTTTAACCTTAAATTAGACTCTTAAAAGAGAACTTGAAGGACGTATTTTATTACAAAAACAAATTCTTTAAAAATATTATTTTGAGATGTAGTTTTTATGTGAAAGAGTTTTTTCTGAGACCAAATATACTATATATATATATATATATATATATATTCCAGCTTCCTGATATTTTTGATGGATCATTTCTAAACATGTCTTATGTGAACCACAGCAGTTTTTCAGTGTTCAGAATATATTAGACTGCAGGGATGCTAGTTTGTGAGTGTATCCCACAACTTAAGAGCTTTGTCACAATTTGGCAATACTACTGGAACACAGTTCACTCTCACCTTCACAGCAAGATCAAACCATGTTTTA